TATACTTTGAGTGAAATTGTTCCTATTTGATTAATGTTTGGCTTGAATTGATGATTCAATCACAAAAGTGAGTTCAACAATTTTCCCTTGGAAAATCCCTTGTTTACAGAACTCGATTCGACTTCTATGACAATTCTGTGTTGAATGCAGTACTTTGGGACATCTTGCATTATTCCCTACTGCATCGTACACAACATCAATATTCCACTTGTACAGGATCTTTTCCTGTTTGTGTGGATACAGATTGTCGGACAGACTTGCGTCGAATCCCGACATCACGCACGATCAAAGTCTGATCGCACGTGTCGAAAACCTCATGCTTGAATAGTTTCTTTTGGAACGTAAAAACTCATATTTCGTCATATCCCAACACACACAGCAAAAAGAACAATTGCTACCCTATGGAATTTGTGATCCTAGTGGGCAAAGATAGCCCTTACTAGGGTGGAGGCATTTTCTAACCCAAAAATTTGGGCGCGGAGGTTCAAAATTAGGCTATCAAGTCGCTCGTCGCTAGGTAGCTTTTTCTGTATACGGAAAGTGTCTGACCTCTGTTCCATTTTTGCATGACGGAAAAAAATCCAAATAGGTATGGAAAGTGAAAGTCGTGTTGGCAACAACCTACCATCATCGTAGCTTGTTTTTTTTGTGAAACGAGAGATTTTCTAAACCAATATTTTTTAACCGCTTCCTGGTCAGACAATACAAATCAATACATTTCGTAGACCTGGTATACATTCTACGTAGTCAAATTAGTCAAAATAATGTATCTAAATAGTCAGGTCCAGAGCTGCTGTTTAAAGGCATTGTCTATAACACGACAAGGGCCCACTATTGAATACAATAGATTTGAAAACACTTTCCTATGTGTGAATAATTGGTTGGACCACTTCTTGATAATTGATGCTGTGTTTCCCATCACTGTAGCAAATGTACTGAATCTACGTGAAAGAAACTAAAAAAGCCCTTTGTTTGAACGTCAAAATAGGAAAGTGACTTCCAACAACAATTTCCCCACATATACTCTTATCAGACCTCTTCTTTGATATAAATGTCTTTGAACTATGTGTTTAGTTCTTTGGTGGCCAAATTTGGCGAGTAGTATTTAGAGGTTTTAGGTACTATTTTCGAGAAGTCGGTGTAGTCGATTTCACGTACATTTTGTACTGGCTCTACGAATGTATTGATTTGTATTGTCTGACCAGGAAACGGTTAACGGTACGTCCGCCACTCGTCAGACCCTATTATGGCGGAAGACCCAGGTTCTAAAATCACCCACAGACCTAAAATAAAAATTTTCTTCATACAAAAGTCTTAGCTTAGGTCCTTATCTTACATCCTATTGGGTGGGGTCATCATGATTGTGCTCTAGACATTCACTGCAGTCAAGAAGGTAATTGATGCTTTGGACAGCAATTCAGATCATTGGTTGTTTTGGTGCCTTATGAGTACAGTGTGACCTGAAATCACTCATGGGCAATCTGAGTTCCGATTAGTAGCTGGATTGTAGCATTCTTTCATGAATTTCAGGCACATTTTGTAAGTTGTAAATTTTCAATTTCAATCCACAACAGTCCTAGTGGCAACTTTTAGAGCTACAGTGCCTTCCCTGAGCATAATGATGACAGCCCCACCCAATAGGATGCAAGATATGGACCTAAGCTAAGACTTTTTTGTATGGAGAAAAATTTTATTTTAGGTCTGTGGGTGATTTTAGAAGATGGGTCTCCCGCCAAAATAGTATGAAATGGGCTTCTTGAGTGGCGGACGGACCGTTAAAATATCTCGCCAGACGCATTGCACGTGCACACCATGAGAGATTTATATACTTGAATTTACAATGGGTATCAGAAATTCGGTGTGGCGCAATGGTAGCGCGACAGACTTCTAATCTGTAGGTTGCGGGTTCGAGTCCCGCCATCGAAAAGTTTTGCGTGGGTTGATATTGTGTGTGTTTTCTTTTTGGCTACAGCAAGACGGTGTAATTTCCGAAATAGGTGGTGACAGGGGGGCAGACGGGCGTATAGGACTCTCTCGTGCCTCCCGTTTGTGCCCGCTCGGGGCAGACGGGCGTATAGGACTCTCTCGTGCCTCCCGTTTGTGCCCGCTCGCTGGAAAGATGGACCGTTAAAATTGGGATGAAATTGTAACAAAATAGACCTCGCAAGAGGCAAGCAGGCCAACTATCCGGCACTAGCCAACGGATGGCTTATCGCCAGTCGAGTCCACGATTCAAGAGAGATTGACCACAACAGCTTTGGTGCTGACCATTAAAATAGTGGGATGAAATTGTAACAAAATAGACCTCGCAAGAGGCAAGCAGGCCAACTATCCGGCACTAGCCAACGGATGGCTTATCGCCAGTCGAGTCCACGATTCAAGAGAGATTGACCACAA